AATTTTGGGCAGCCGGAGCTGGTCGTAACCCGAAAAGTTCGTTAACAGAGGCGTTCGTAACCTGAGGTACCACTGTATGTAAGACCAGCGGCCATATACGTTTTCTACATAAATAATTTTTTCCCAAGGACCATTCTCTGAGGCTGGTGGAGCTAAGAGAATAGGACTGGCCCAAAGTCACCAAGGGAAATGTGGTAGCTGGAGGGGGACCTGAACCACCAAACCACAACATTGTACTGGCTCTCAAAGATTTGTGAGAACTGGTAGGTTTTGACCATCTATTAACAGTCCTCCGTGCAGGACAGTCCATTGCCTTCCGTCATGTCCTTTAATAGGACAGAGTGGGGTAAGCAGAAACATCTTTGCCCACATTTAATTCAAATTCGTGGGAGGGGGGAAGACTTTGGAGAAGCCTCTGGGTAGTGTTTCCCAACCTGTGGACTTCAACTCCTAGAATTCTTAGCAATGGCCATGCTGGCTGAGGAATTCTGGGAGTTGAAGTCCGTGTCTTAAAGTTGCTCGGGTTGGGAAACGCTGCTCTATGGCGTTCCAGGATGGTTGAGCACCAGTTGGGCTGGGTTTGGGGCCAGATTATGCCCAGGAGTGACCTCCCTCTGCAATCTTTGAATGCGAGCAAAGAGGGAGACTTTACAGAATTTAACCAGAAGGAATTTAACCTAAATCAAGCACCTACTGCAGAAGAAGTCTACCAGATTTTTGTTTTCCTATAATTTTCATTCCTCGAAAGGAAAACGTTGAAGCCAAGCCTCTGCATCCTGCCTCAGGAGCTGCCATGGAATTCTTCCAGGCCTGGAGGATTTCTCTTGTGAGCTAGCTGGTGAGTCAACCCCTAAACATCTACCTGTCATTGAGCAATTGCAAGGCCATTTCCTTCCCATTATATTTTTAGCTGCAGTAATTTTGTTTTCTAGATGTATTAATAGAAAATGCTACCTTTATTAACAGCCTTGACCAACAATGACCGCTGCATTTCCACAGGCCCAAAGCATACAGATTTCATTTCTCACTGCCGCAAACAGTCTTCTTTCATCAAGATACTTGGCCATTTTGGAAAACTCAGTTCATTTTATAGGTAGTCATTAATTTACGATCATCTGTTTAACAACCAAAGTTACAACGGTGCTGAAGAAAGTGACTTACAACCAGTCCTCGCACTTACGACCATTGCAGTGTCCCTGCGGTCAGGTAATCAAAATTTGGGTGGTTGGCAGCTGGCACGCATTTATAACAGTTGCAGCATCCCTGGGTCATGTGGTCACCATTTGTGACCTTCCTAGGGGGCTTCTAACAAGCAAAGTCAATGGCAGAAGCCAGGTTTGCTTAACGATTATGACAAAAAAGGTCATAAAATCAGGCACAACTCACTTAATGACCACATCACTTAGTGACAGTTCTGGTCCCAATTGTGGTTGTAAGTCGAGGACTGCCTGTAGCCCAGTCATTTAATGCAAGAGCTTTGTAAACAGCAAAGCCTCTTTTTCTTCCTCTTGCTGATGGGAGAGAAGAAGTTTGCTTATCAATGGGGGTGGGGTGGGGGAGACATCATTTTTTCTCCAGGGAATGTATCTGGGGAGAAGGCTTGCTAATATTATTTAGAATAGTTGCACCTATTTTGCAGTTGAAAGGGGGCGGGGGAAATCCACTGTTGAAAAATCACTCTTTTGCAGTCAATTTTCAGCAGCACATTCTAGAGGACAGGGGGAACCCTGGAAGGGCCACAAATAGGGTTGGGGGTATCTGTAGACATTTGCTATGAACATTTTTGATAAGAGCCAGTGGGGGTGGGGGGAAGGTGCTGGACTGAGTTCTGGTCCTCCCTGCTAGAACTGGTGACTTTTGGGCCAGTGGCTTGCTCATGGGGGGAGGGGGGGGTCCTGCAGGAAATAGGAAGAAGGAGCTTTATATGTTCCACCTTGAATTGTACAACATAAAGTTGGGATATAAACCTAATAATAAACTGGGTAAGTCTCGCTGAGCTGAACCAGATTCGTTTCTGAATGGATGTGCTGCCCAGGTCAAGTATCAGCTGGGACTGGAGACCCTTTTGCAGGAAGCTTTGGGCTCTGCTCTAGAAAACCCACATGCCCACACACATTATTTGCCATAAACACAAGGCACATCCAGGATACGAAACAGCCATGATTTGTTCAGTTCTATAGTCAATGCAGAGATTCCGCCATACGGATGCAACAAAGGTCAAAACTGCTTGTTCCGATCATCTGGTTTAGTTAGTTCACTTAAGCCTGCTGGACATGATCAACGTGTCTTCCCCTTTTCAAGACGAATAGCTTTTGCAGCTGCGTTTATTATTATCTTTAATTAAATTGGAAATAACCCTGTTGGCTAGCAAAATAAGAGGCTGAAGAGATGCCAGCATCTCTGGCAAGAAGAGATCCTGATGTTAAGTGCCAAAAGAAGGAGTGTGTGTTTGTGCATGTCTGTGTGGGCAAAACAATGGAATTGGTCTGGATTTTGTCCCCATTCTGTCTTAAAAAAATCAATGTAACTTACTTCCCCCTTAGATTTATGCAAAATTAATCAGTGCATTCGTTGTCCTAAGTCAGCTTGGATTTATTTGTTAAGCATGACTAAGAAGGCTGTATAAATTAATAATAATAATAAATATTTAATTTGGCAGTGACAAATGGTAGGGCCAGATTCACTTAGACTAATGAAATAAACAATCCTCCTTGGAGTCGGAGGGAAAATGATGCCACAGCACCTCCTACAGCACCCTTGGCAGTCACACCTTGGCTTCATCCCTGGTGGCATTTGGGCAGCCGTAAAGACCTTGTGCACTGCTGTGTCCAAAATGGGAGGTGCCCTGTGCCCTCTACATCTCACCACACACCTTTTCCTCCGCTGCGGTTGTCTCTGCTCAGAATTACATCTGCCCCAGTTGGAAGGAAGGAAGGAAGGAAGGAAGGAAGGAAGGA